GTGTGAGAACCTTGCTGGATTTACCCATCCACACTTTGATTTCCATGAACAAACGCAAAAATCGATTCATTCAAAACAACGATCCATATAATCAAACGTAAAAATCGAATCAAATCTCAACATTCAAAACAATCGATGAATGATTCCATAGATTGATTCTCAACATTCTAAACAATAATAGTTAAGCAAACACATAATATTCCGGTACATGTCTAGTCGCGAAGAACGACAGCGGTACGATCGAGATTGTTCTTTTGAATGTTAGATTTAAAAGGAATTGATTCTGTTTATGTCTATGGGTAATGTGTAATCGATCGAAATATGTATGGGTATTGAAATGTGTACAAAATAGGTCCAAAAATCGATTTACCCATAGACATTTCGATCAAAAAATCGATTCACCAATACACACTTCGATTTTCATGAACAAACGCATAACTCGATTCATGCAAAACAACAATCTGCACAACGATCCATATAATCAAACACATAATCGCAAAAACTCGATTAATTCAAAATAACAATCTCAACAACGATCCATATAATAAAACACATAAACGCAAAACTTGAATCAAATCTCAGCATTCAATTTTAATAATCAAACACATAAATGGAATCAATCGATGAATGATTCCATAAATCGATTTTTAACATTCAAACAACAATAAGTTTCAATAATCAAACACATAAACAGAATCAATCGATGAATGATTGATTGATTCTGTTTATGTGTTTCCTCCTCTTTCTATTACCTCGCAACACTTATCTCCTCGGTACATGCCAACAAAAACAACAAAATGTAAAGAAAGCTTCAAATCCGATACTCACACAAAGTGTTAATTCAATATGGAGATAAAAATAGAAACACTAACATCGTTCCACTACTCAGGATCCATCTTCATTAAAGTCACCAATATCCTCTTTACTTTGGTTACCCGAGAATGCTCACTCTTAAATTAGGAATATTGTTCCCCTAGGATAAATGCAAAATTAAAATTCTACTTGTGGCAATAGTAAGCTAAAAAAACCATCCATGAATCAGAGCATACACAAAAATAAACCTTAATTAAACACCATAATTAGAAGAGAATAATTCATTTCGATCAATCAGAAACAACTTTTATCTTAATACGAAAAAGCTTGTAAAAGAAGCTAGGGTTTTGATAGTAATTAAACACAAAATCACCGAACCTTAAACGAAAAAAATCAGCAGAAGAAAAGGGCACGTGTACATGAGAAGGTTCCAATGGGAAAAATGAGATCCACCGTCAACACACACTTGTTCCAAAACAAAAGTCAAATCACCGTCTATAGGTCCCACTTTGATTTTAGTAGACCCATTATTTTCATTACGATCATGTATTTACCGTCCGATCACGGATCCTCGCTGTAATCAAGGGACAATATTTAAGAGACTACTAATAACTGTCTTTCTTCATCACGTATATTATTATCTGACATT